TGTCATGAAACTAGAAAAATGCTTGTTTTTTGCCCCTTTTTTGGCCCCTAATTCCTAATATTTTGAGGCAATTACCCCCAAAATCAATCCCAGCATTCCCTGTGTGATATGGAACCTTGTGGTACAATGTCAGAGAGATCCATACACTAACACACAAGTTATGTCTGGAAGTTACAAAAATGCTTATTTTTGGCCCCTAATTCCTTAACTGTTGGTACCATAACCCCCAAAATCAATCCCAACCTTCCTTTTGTGGTATTGAACCTTATGGTAAAATTTCATAGAGATCCATTCACTTAAACTAAAGTTAGAGTGCGAAAACCAATGTGTCTTCGGACGACGCCGGATGACGACGACGCCAACGTCATACCAATATACGACCGCAAAAAGTTTTTGCGGTCGTATAAAAATGACTAAATGAAAATCATGGTGCTATACGGCCAAAAGTATAAGGTGTAAAACAATCCTACCAAGAATGACAGTTTCGAATACTGTAAATTTAGAAATTATTGCGTGCATTTATTATTGCGATTTTGTCATTTTGGAATAAAATGCGATTTATATTTTTTTTTCGATATTGAGAGAAATCTTGTTTAAATTATATAAAAAATTTCAAAATGAGGGTTTGAATTATTGCAATTATAACCCTGTCGCATTTTTCATAATATTTTCTGAATTCACAGTAAATAAAGCGACAGAAAGGCGACAGAAATTTGTCTATTTTCAAATGTCGTTAATCCCGATTAGAAAGAGACAAATAAGGTAGCACCCAAAAGTAGCAAGACAGGATGTGTCAACAGGGTAATCGTCGGCATCATCCGCCGTGCTATTCACATTCAGTAAATATATCACAACATGGAATAGGACACAACCGGTAAAATTACAGATCAGACGACTATACTGGTATATAAAGATCTAAGACTGTGAAAACATGTGCATAGTGATTTGATACAGAGACACATCGTAGTGTCGATTTCAGTCGTTCTTCCTCATAACTCTGTTTGAACTGATTCCGGTAAGGAGATCACCCATATTGATGAAATCCGTATAGAATGAACATGCACGAGCGTAAGGTATAAACTGAGATATATAAACGCCATTTGATAAAGCAGAGGGTATATTACTGCTGAGAAATGGGGAGTTGATAATTGGAAAGTTTTGAATAATACAGCTAAGGTAATCTATTTCTGGGGTACAAATCCTTAGTATTTCGAAAACTTCAAAGTTTTGTTAACATAAAATATATAGTAGAGTAAAGTTTAGGTAACCAAAATAGAGATGGCAGATTTTCTTCAGCATTTTTAGTTATTACCATAGGAGAGAAGGATGCATCCGTGATTTTCTAAAATCTCTTCTATCGCGAATGACATATGCAGGGGTATATGTGGGATTCCCCGTCTTGCTTAGTTTTCTTTAGTGAGACATTCCAAATAAAGATGCATATCAAAACAATATTGTTAGTGGCTTTTTGTGCTGGTACAAACACATATTTGTCGTGAAGGGAAGCTAATGCATTCACAACCTCTGCGTTTCCAAAAGGATCATTGAACATTGCAGAGTTTGAGTGCGTATGTGGATGCATGAACGTACGTATTAAAAACTTTTACCCTCAGGGATGCCTAATCCAAAACTCCTGATTGCTCTTATGCATCGTCCCCATAAAAATATAGTACCGCTGATCATGTTATAACTGGTGACCTTAGCATCGTAAACAATGATAAAATAAGAGAGTTGTTAGCCAAAGGCCCAAAATATCGAATCCCACAGTCCATAAACTGGAAGAATAACTTAAGGTTACTGACTAATGCTTTTGAGGACTATGCCAGAAAATGGATAAAAGCGAGACAGAGGAACAAACACTAGACACGTTATCTAAATGAGCAAAGTTGTTCATTGACACATTTTGTTACTTTTCCATGAGACTGCTTTAGAAGCGTGGGCATTTTGGTTTTTGCATTAATGTAAGAAATATGAATCCCTAAAGCGAACATTTATGATAAAGTTTTAAAATATAAATATATACACATCAAATGAAATTACATCTCATGAAATCAAAATGATGTTTTGTGATAGATTCATTTCTTGATTTTTTTATTTCTATGATTCAGGGGACCTTCTCATTAACAGTTCACTAAAAAATGAAATTTGGCAAAAAATACGGCTACAACTCCTGGTAACAAAATTTACCTTAAAGAAAAACTACGATTGCAACTACATCAGGCAATGTTGACCGAAATTTTGCATTCAACATGTAGGACAAACAGGACGTGAATGTTTCAAACAAACACATGAACATATACATGTATACTGCTTCCGCAGACCTAGAAATTCAAAAGTATGATTGTGACAAACACAATATTAAATTTTTAAAATTCCAACCTCTTGAAACTGTCCTGAAGCAACCAGGACAATCACATAAACAATTTGAAGATTTCCGTAAAATTTGCAACTGTCTTGGATTAAAAGACTACAGGCAGCGTATCCCCTAGGTCTAATTGACAATATCACGTTACAAGGAAACATATCTTGACCTCTTTTGATAGTATGACCATTGATGATAACATACAACGTAATCTTATGTCTCGTGGCAAACGCATTAACTACAATCAACAAATTAAACATCGTTCTAAAATTACACTTGATGATCTTTTATCTATATTAAAAAAACAATGGTAAATATTAATTATTATGCAGGGTCAAATACCAATTAGTAAATTACATAAAATTTAAAACAGGCACGATACAATATCGTGTTTCGGTCCGAAATATGAGTGTACACTTACTATAATAGTTTTGTCACCATAAACTGTTCCCTAGTGTTAACAAACCAGAAGATCATAACAGGCATTCTATAAAATTAGAATAAATCAACAGAGGCATTTGTTTTATCAATTTGTCTAGTATTTTTGATGACTCTACCCTTCAAAACTTTAAATCTCCATATTTTGATAACAAAGAGGCACCTATGATTTTTTATACGCATACACATCCATTAGAAATTAATTTTCAATTATACATCAGCTACATCAGACGTCAATATAAAAAACAATGCTCCTTCAACTTGAAACTTTGAAGGACCTATGAATTATAAATTATACGAAAAGGAATTAAAACTATCGTAGAAAATAAAATGGAAAGAGTGTCGTCATGTCACTAAAGATCTGTCATCCTATTTTACGAATTGGTGTAAACGGGAAGAACCACAAATATCGAAGTGCTATGTAGAGTCAGACATTTTTTAGTGAGATAAAAAGAAAATAAGTGTATTTATTATCGGAATAATAAACTGTTGACACAGAGATATGTCTGGCCTGTCGGCATAAAATTCAGAAAAAGACAATCTGATGGACAGCAACATTGCTAATTATTTCAAAGTCGCTGCACCAACTGGCCTTAAAATAGTCGTCAAACTGAAATGTACTGATAGTAATTCAACTTTATGGAAAATATCATTGATCTATCACAAGTAGTTCATATCAAACTAACTTAAGCAGAAAAGTTATCATTGAAAATTGCTAATCAATTGAAAGTCACTGAACCATGGCCTAGGGGGCAGACTTTTAAAATAGTCATCAAACTGATATGTACTGATAGTAATGCAACTTTAAACAAAATATCATTGATCTATCACAAGTACTTTCTACCAAACTAACATAAGCAGAAAACTCAACATTGAAAATGGCTATTTAAATCAAAGTCACTAAACCATGGCCTAAGGGGCAGGGCCTAAAAATTGTTGTCAAATTGATATGTACTGATAGTAATGCATCTTCATAAAAAAATATCAATGATCTATCATAAGTGATTCCTATCAAACTAACTTAAGCAGAAAACTTAACAATTGTTGATGCCGTTATCGCAGCCGTCACAGGAAAAAGCAATCCCTATATCTCGCTAGGCGAGACAAAAATTGCACATGACTTTTGAAAGTGTCTTCTCACATGTGAGAGTTTTGTATTATATTGATAAATGTTTTACGTTCAGTTTACCAATTAGAACATATAATTTTCTTACATCTGTTCAAAGATTTTTTTCTGGTAAATGGGAGACAACCAAAATGTTGTTATTGCCAGGTCACCCATAACAAATTCATTACTAGTATGCATTTTTTTTAAAATATTTATTGCATTTTCTTTTAACTTATGTTGTTTTACATCTATGTCATCTTATATTAAAAGTATATTAAATTTACTTTCAAGTAACACCGATTCAATTGTTTTATCGTGTTTGACAATTATTAGGAAAGAATTCATGAAAGCCCTATATTTGTTAAAAATTTTAAAATGGTGTTAAGCATTATATTTGAATTTTAAGGGTATGAAATTATATAACAGCCCAGGCCATGTGAAAGTTACAACAAATCTATGGCTGCATGTATTATTCTGATTCTAATAGTAAAAATCCAGTAATTGAAAAAAATTGAAATAAAGACTATTGTTTGGGCGTTGCTGTTCTATTTAAAAAGTAAAATCACAAAAATACTGAACTCCGAGGAAAATTCAAAAAGGAAAGTCCCCAATCAAATGGCAAAATCAAAAAAAACAAACACATCAAACGAATGGATAACAACTGTCATATTCCTGACTTGGTACAGGCATTTTCTTATGTAGAAAATGGTGGATTGAACCTGGTTTTATAGCTAGCTAAACCTCTCACTTGTATGACAGTCGCATCAAATTCCATTATATTGACAACGATGCGTGAACAAAACAATCAGACACAATAGGTTACCCTACTGTCAGACAAAACAAAAAATTTCCAATAAAATTTATGGCTGATATGAATTATTTCAAATAGCCTCTAGAAAAATGTATGTTATCCTTATAATTCTAAACCTATACAGTTCCAATATTCATTAAACAATTTTTTTCATTAGCTACTATTACCGTCAAATCCACAATTGACATATCGTAACTAAGGATTGAGCCCCTACATCGACTTGCTGAAATCCATAAATATGTGATTGCATGATGCAACAAAATCAAAAATGAAACAACATCTACCCCTAAAATTCCATTTTAATGAAGTATTTTCCAAATTTAAGATGTACAAGGAACTAAATAACCTTTAGCTTGAGATTTTTCATTTGTATGACATCATGTTTTGATGGAAATTTATTTTTATTTTAAATGCATACATTTTTCCAAGCTCTAATGCATTAATTCTATTTGGTAGGCAGTAGAAGAGGAATAATAGTTTGTTTTCAATTTCAATTTTCACACAGCAAAAAAGACAGGGTGTTTGTACATAGTTCCCCTATCTCATATATATATGATCACATAAATCTTCAAATAAATTTAATTTCTCCAATTCTTTGGCAATTTTACCCTCTCTGGACCCATTGTTTAAAAAAATCTAATCAGCGTGTGATTGTCGATGATCTCAGGAGATGAATGGCTAAGTTAAAAGGTTATAACCTTTATCAGCTCTCTGGATGAATCGAATTGTGATAACAGGTGTTAGAGAAATTGGCATCATTATACCAATTAGTATGACGCAAAAATCCAGCATGTAGATGGTACTCAAGGGGATTTTCGCTTATCAAAAATAAAAATTCATTTGATAATCATTAAAGAAACAGATTTTTAAATAGTTACTACTGGATTATCAGATTTAGCCTTGCCACTGATCTCGGATAGTTAAATTATCAAATACTAAAGTTCGGGTTGAAATTTCAATAGTTTATCTATCTAGATTGGATAAATCCGATTATCCACTGGTGCCAATGTGAAGAATCTATGTATATCAATTGAAATCAAAAATGTTTACAGCATGGCCTTTCTCAAATAATATTAAATTTACAGCAAAATATTAGTATTCAAACCAAGAATTGCGATACAATAATTATATAATAGTAATTTTATTAGTCAATTGTGTCATTTTTAATGTCCATGTCTATTGTACTTTCTAAAGAAAAATTTGGTATTTTACATTTAAATGTTGTTTGATCTTGCTTTTCCATTACATAGTTGCCTCTGAAAAAAAAAAATGAAACAAGAATTTGCAGATAACAAATATTAACATAAAATCTATTATGGCACATTTCTCTATCTGTTACATCTTTCATACTGTGGCTCTTTTCACAAAAAATCTTAAGACTAAAATCTATCACAAGTTATAATGAAATGGTCATGAATTACAAGTACTGTAAATTCAGAATTTATTGCTTGCATTTATTATTGCAATTTTTAAAGAAAGGACAAAATGCGAGAATTATTATTGTGATTTCAGGACATATAAACTTATACACTTAAATGTATCAGATATCAGAATGTGAATTCTTATTATTGCAATTATCACTCATTCCCATTATTCGCAATAATTAAAAGCTCACAATAATTTCTGAATTTACAGTATTTATTATCGTAAGAATTTTTGTAAAATTACTCGCTGATAATTATTTTGTATGATATTGCTTGATGATAGGACTGTCAGAGAGATGAATCAGATGTTTTAGTTATTTCAAAAAGTTTACTAATAAAATAAATTTATTAGTAAATGTTGTCCTTTATATATTGCACCTACAAGCTCATTCTGAATTCAAACACAGCTTGACTTCAACATAAAACCTGACTATCAGCTTTCCTGTTTGAACCAAGAATTATTTGGTACAGGCATTTCCTTATGCAGAAAATGGTGGATTAAACCTGGTTTTATAACTAGCTAAACCTCTCACTTCACAGTCGCGTAAAATTCCATTATATTGACAATAATGTGTGAACGAAACAAACAGACATAATAGGATTGTCTTCATTTTTTCTTAATGCTGCATGCACAATCTATAATCATCAAAATCTAAATTTTTAACTATAATTAATACTGTAAATATTTTAACATTGTATCCTGTTTAAACAGAATATGTTGTTTCATGCAGACCTTTAGAGTCTGAAATTAAGATTATCTTATCTTAAGGTAGATAGGGTGTCTTCCTCCATCTTGGATTTTGAAATACCAGAAAACAATCGGTCTAGATCTTTAATAAAAGGTGCAAATTTTGAGAGTAGTAGGTAATTCATGTGTAAGAATTTTCATTTCAAAATAGGAAATGACATATTTTATCATATTTATGGTTGTATTTTACAAAAAAAATGAATACTTTTGTTTGATTCTATTTTTTCCAACTTTGCCACATAAGGGGAGGCAACTCAAATGTAAGGGCAGATAATTCAGATAAAGTTACTTTTACAATAGAATGTGTTAGGAATTTACCTATTTTATTATGTAGCAAGAAAACGGGTCCCGTGACCCCATTTTTTCTTTTTCTTATCTGAAAGCATACTATTAGAGCTATCTTCTCTTATATTATCTCAAAATTCTATGGTGTAGTTTTCGTTTTATGGCAGAAAATTGGGTTTTCCATGCATAATCTATACAAAATCTGTCAATTTTGCACAACCTGTAGCGTGAAAATAAGCCCCGTGACCCATTCTTTTTTTAACTTTTTTTTTAAAAGCATGATATAAACTACATTTTGGCAAATTATTAAAAAATTCTATGGATTATAATTTAGACACCCCATCTACCTTAAATGCAATCCGAGGAAAGCAGCCTACTATGATACCATGGAGGTTGTCAAACAGTAATGAAGATTTAGGCTAACCACTTATAATACCTACCTCATGTATCCACTAGAAGATTGTAAAGAAATATGACTGCTATATTGAAAGAATGGAAAGTCAGGTGATAAAACTGGTTCCTAAAACAGAACAGAAATGATAATTAGATAAAAGGTGTAACCTAACACAGGCCATTAACTTAATTGATTGATTGGTTGATTGGTGTTTAATGCCACTTTCAACAATTTTGGGCTATTTTGTTGCATTTATTTTTTATTGGTAGAGAAAGCCAGAGTGGCCACAGAGAACCAACGTTAACTTTAACTTAATATTGGATGTTCACTTATTATGAGACATGTGAATATAAGACTTTTTCTGTACTGTTTTTTATTGTATATTTTGTATGTACCTTTATTATATCCATAATTGAGTCCATTGGTTAAAAAGTGAGGGCTTTAAAAAATATTTTATCATGTTACTTGTTCATATATCGTATATTGTATATCGTATATCGTATATCCCAATGAGTCTGGAATCTCATCAGTCGATGTCTTTATTCATATCTGAGCCTACAGTCATCAAAATTTACTCAGAATTTGTACTCGACCAAATCCAGTATTTTGATTGGTTGATTTCTGAGTGTGAGTACAAAAATTGTACAAAAATTGTGCTCAAAATATATTATGACTGAAAGGCTTGGACACTTCTATTTATTTATATAGGGTGTATCATGGGTATATATTACCTCACATAAAATGATCTTAAATTTGCCAAAATGTATATTTTACAATGCTTTTTTCCAAAAAATAATAAAAAGTATCAGTGACCATGCAATTTTTCAATCTACAAGTCGTACAAAATTGCCAAATTTTACATTGATTATTCATGAAAAAACACTTTTTTGTGAAGAAAAAAATCTATGAGATAGAATTTTGAAATAAAAATATGAGAAGATAGGTTTTATAATATGCTTAAAGAAAGAAAAAGGCTTGGTAAATGCATGTATGCCTCAAATGACCTTTTCTGTTGTGGTAATTGCCTAAATGATTTTCCCTTTTTCACACTGTCTCTTCTTTTCCCACCAGAGTCATTCTGAAGATTTTGTATTTAATCTGCTTTTATAAAGCTACAAAATCAGTCTGTGCCAAAAGGGACAAATAAAACTAGTAAAATCCTATAAGGCCAATAAACTTGTTCAAAGTCACATCATAAAAGTTGTTAATGTTTCGTCCTGCAATTATAATTCTAAGGTTTTAAATAATCTATAAATACACTTTAAATTGTATATATGTTTTTTACCCACAAGAACCAGCACACATATGTGGTCCAGTTCATTAACATACCTCCCCAACAACTCCTCTTCCAATCTTTCTAATTGGAGCACCAGGCTTAGGATAAATTTTCCATGATCTATGTCTAAGTTGCACAGTTTCTGATCCTAAATTTTCTAAACGTATAGTATACCTCCACTGAAATAAGAAACAAGACTTTAAAAAACTGGCAGACATGCATGTTTATGTTTTGAATAATCTTAAAAGTTTATTCATTTTGTTGAAACTATTGCAATAATAGAAGAAAAATACAGCTTACTGGTACATTTTCCTTTGGAGCCTCAACTATATGCATAAAGGTAGAAATTATCTGATTGTATGATTTGTGATTTGATGATATTCATGATATTCATGAGATGTTCAATAACATGTCAGTCCCACTATATGTAAATGTATTTATACATCCCTGGGTTTCATGTGTCTAGGATTGAGTGTTTCAGATGAAAGTAGATCCTGTTTGTTTGTGTATTCATATAAGAGAATAACATTTTTGAAGTATTCTTGACTATTCATATTTGCATTATTTTGCTACTCTCGAAATTTCCTTACATAAATCTGTCTTGAATATAAGTTGGTTTAAAATAATCAAAACCATTGAATACATTCTGTTGGTGTGGATTTATTATTTTTAGTTAGATATTGTCATGGATTTCATGAGTTTAGGTGGACCACTAATTTAAGTATTCAACCAAATACAATTTCCTATTTGTTTGTATGCGGACTTTTGTTAAAATCATAAAATCAAGTTCATAAACTAACTACTGTGACTGTGAAACAATTTTTCCTTAAGGATGCACTTAGGTCAGGCTTAGGAATTTTTGTCAGATGTTCGGACTCCTTGGTTTTTTATCCTAAGATACAGGGTAAAATATTTTGCCCCATAAAATCCATTTTTCTTTTCATATCAGACTTCAATAGCCCATAAAAGGTCATTTACCAAAAAAATAGCAGATTCTAGATTTCTTTTCTTTCGACTTGAGACCCAAATAATACCAATGCAAATATAAGGTAAAAGTCAGTCAGCCTTTCCCCGCCATTTTTTTAAAAGTAAATATCTCGAAAAGGAGCTCCATAACCTATCAATATTTTTAGCTTATTTTGTTCCTGAACTAATGCTCTTCTGACTTAAAGTATCAATTTTAAATTCTAGATTTTTTTAATTTCACCTAAGTACATCCTCAATCCACCAAAATTGATATACACAAAAAATTAAGGTTTCTTTTTTAGCTTCATTTCTTTTTCTTTCAACAGAGTAAAAACATAACTCCAGGTATATTGTGTAAAAGAAAAGAAAATCTTACCCAATAATTATTATCCTGAAAAATAAAAATATATAATTCTACAAATACTATAAAATACTACAATATTTTTTTTCTCTGTATAAGATTCATAACCATTGATTTGAAAGCATTTTCTTCAATACAAGCAACTGATGATTTGCATAATAAAGAAAGTCAAACAAATACATCACAAATATGAAAAACCTGATGCCTGAAAATAGTGTGTCAACACTGAGGTTGTAAATTTGAATCCTGTTCATGGCAAAGGTGCTATCGACTGTATCTTAATTGACTAGGATTGCTCATTTTTTCTCCAAAGGTTGGAGGTTCTCTCTGGGTTCTCCAGCTTCCTCCATCAACTAGCAGATAGTAATGGGAGCTTTCACAGAGGGTTCCACTTGAGTAGACAAGCATTTTTGCACCTGTCCCATGTCAGGAACCTCTGACCTTTGTTATAATTAGTCTTGCATGTTTTTCTAGTGTTGGTTCATTTATATTTCTTGGAGTTTAGTGTGACGTCCATTTTCGCTGAGCTAGTATACATTTTTTTAAGGGGCCAGCTGAAGCCCACCTCTGGGTGTGGGATTTTCTCGCTGTGTTGAAGACCCATTGTGCCCTTGGGCTGTTTTTTGCTCTTTAGTGGGGTTGTTGTCTCTTTGACACATTCCCCGTTTCCATTCTAAATTTTAAATTGTGATGTGATAATTGATGTATACATAGCTAATTTCCATTGAAGGCACACAATCTCAGACGCACCTTTTATTCATTGCCAAACTGCAAAGGGGTTTAAAAGTTAGAGAGCTGAAACAATGTGTGTATATATATATGCACAGGGATGGAGGAGTTGAACTAAGCTTTTGACCACCACTTTCAATGCATGGTTTTCTTCTTTTCACTGACACAGCTTTCAGTAATGGTGTAAACTCATGTCAAGTTCCATCACCCAACTTCAATGAGGTTTGAAAGTTTGGGAGAGGTAAATATTTTGTACATATGCACGGGGGTAACTATTTTGAATTAAGTTTTGGATCATAACCTTCACTGTAGTTTAGGGATTTCTTCCTTGTATATATGCTACACACATTCTAGTAGTGGGGAAAATTGTGTCAAGTTTTATCACCCAACTAAAAGGGGTTAGAAAGTTAGGGAGCAGAAACAATTTGTAAATATGGACAGACACATTCAGTACATGGACAAGCTGATTAATATTGCCTTCTGTTGATTAATCAGAATTCTTATAGATAACTTGTGTAAGTCATGATAAAGATGAGAGTGCTAAAAGTGACATTAAAAACCAACAATCAATCAATAAAAAAGAGATATTGAAACATGAAACGAAAATTCAAATGAAAGCATAAGATTATGTCACATCTACTATGCATCAAATCAAAACTGCAATTTTTATAAACTGAACTGTCATGCAATATATGATCCATGATCCATCTATATTTTTAGTAACAATTATCACAGAAAAGACAATACAAAAAAACATACTCCTACGTGACAAATGTTTTAACAGACATTTTCAATAGAGTTGTCTTACTTTTATCATGTAAAAAACCTAATATGTAACATAAATACTAACATTAGGACACTACAAATTTGTATGTACCAGGATGTTACTGGTTTTTAGCCCTTAAAATCACATTTTTATGATTAACTTTCTGTCAAAACTTCAAAAACACAGAACAACTTGATATAACTGTTATATGAACTTTATAGGTGACATCATCAACAATGTGGGGCCTCAGTGGCAGAGTGGTCTAAGTAGTCCAACTACTGTAACACTAGCCTGTCAACACTGAGGTTGTGGGTTAGAAAACCACTTGTGGCAAGTGCGGTCGAGTCCAATCTTAATTGACTAGGATTGTCAGTTTTTCCATGGTCCTCTCTGGGCACTCTGACTTCCTTCTCCAATAAAAACTGACCTCCATGAAATAGCCAATAGTGCTGAAAGTGGTGTAAAACATCTATCAATCATCAACAATGCAAACAACTATACTCATTTTTTCAACTAGTTTTGATTCAGGTAGTAGTAAAATGTGTAAATTGCAATTAAAACCAATAATAGTTATGGGGTTATGAAAGTATAAGCCTTCCCAGTGGTGTTCATATTGTAGATGTTTTTTGCTGTTTTTTTCAATGGGTTGCTGTCTAAATGACCAATACCCAACATCTCCTTTCAATCACAAATTTTTTGGGGTTAAAACTTAAAAGCTGAAAATAAATTTGTTGTTGGGTCTCAAATCATGGCTAGCAACTTTGTAAACCATAATATGCCAAGTTCAACATCAGATCACAGGTTATGTTCACCACAATCTTATAAGTAAAGCTTACTTTTATTCCCATAAAAGCTGGTATAACTGTCACTTTTATATTTTCTGAAATTTCTCTATACACATCATAAACTTTTAACCATGGGTGTTTATACAAGTTTGGTTGTCCTTTGTAATGTGGACCTGTTAATGAATAAAGCTATGTTATAATATTAGTTAAATAGAGGTAAAGTAGGAGTAACTAGCTAGATTTACAAGAAGTTGCTAGTGTTGTCATGCAAACATACCCCAACTCCTACTAAAATTACTAGAAAACAGGAAGTAGGTCTCTGTTCTTAGTCTATATAATATCATCAGATTCTGAAGCATTTTGTTTGATGTAAGGCACATGCTTTCCATAGTTTTTTTTGTTTGATGTAAGGCACATGCTTTCCATAGTTTTTTTGTTTGATGTAAGGCACATGCTTTCCATAGTTTTTTTGTTTGATGTAAGGCACATGCTTTCCATAGTTTTTTTGTTTGATGTAAGGCACATGCTTTCCATAGTTTTTATGTTTGATGTAAGGCACATGCTTTCCATATTTTTTTTGTTTGATGTAAAGCACATGCTTTCCATAGTTTTATTTAGAAGTTTATTGTATTACAAACATGGTTAACATAACAAACAATTTATAAAACAGCTTCATGCTGTTGGACTTAAAAAATACTGATTTTACCTATTTAATTAACACAAAATAAACAGTCTGGACACATTCTTTACATGACTTCCCATGCCAGTAGTCTGTAGTCCAGCAGTTGTGGTTTGTTGGTGTCTGCCTAAATTCAAGATGGATTAGGGTGTCAGGGGGCGTATCCAGCCATTTTTAAAAGGGGGGTTCCCAAACCAGGATAAAGGGGGGGGGGGGGGATTCCAACTATATGTCCCCATTCAAATGCATTGATCATCCAAAAAAAAAGGGAGTTCCAACCTCCAGAACCCCCCCGGATCTGCCACTGGCTGTTGGTTTTTCTCTTATGAATTATTTCACATTTTGTGATACCTGAACCTTTTGTAGCAACATTAACAGTACAAAATTTACGGCACCAGATGCATGTATAGACAAATAGAAAAATGAAAAGCTGATAAAACCAAAAGGGACTATAAAAACTGAAAGCCAATTTCTGACAAAGAATCTGAGCTATGCAGTATGCACAAGTGAGATACTTTTCATAATTTTAAAATAATTAAATGTAATGTTTTACAATCACAAAAAAAACACATCCCCTATATACAATGTTTTCTATACTTTATATACCTAGGGTAATATAATTTGTTTATATAAAAATAAGGAGATGTGGTATGATAGCCAATAAAACAGCTATCCACCAGATTTCAAATAAGTAGATATAAGCAATTATAGGTCACCATAGTGCCTTCAACAATTAGAAAAACCCATACCATATAGTGGGCTATAAAGGCCCCAACATAAAAAAATGTGAAACAATTCAAACACGAAAACTAACAGCCTAATTCATTACAAAACAAGATTACTTACTTTGGAAAGACGCATACTTGAGAAAATGATAAAGACAGGGATGTTCTATTGGACAGTTATCTACTCCTGTGTACGGCAGAATATCATCGTGAGCTACATAATCTAATCCTGTAATTATAATGGTTGTCTGTGTTCACTTACAGCAAATCACTTGATATTGATATATATTTGAACTTTTGTTTACATCTATGTTGTTTTATTTGATCTTTTGAAAAATTCCAAAACTTAAATTTGATGTACAGTTAAACCTGCTATAACATGTATAAAGGTTACCATGTATAAAGGTTACCATGTATAAAGGTCACCATGTATAAAGGTCACCATGTTTAAGGGAAAACCTGTCTTGTTAGGTATAAAGGTGGTATCAAACACCTTGACTAAAAACAATTTGGCTCGTTTAATTTTCATAAAATTTTGACAAAATATTTACTTTGTCCCTTTGACAAAAATATAAAAATTTCAAAAAACTTGAACCACACACTTTATCGGAAAAATTTCATTGGATACCGGTATATAGCAGTTTGACAAACACTAATTTTGATCATTGAGAAGCTTTATATTTCCTTAATAATAGAACCTGATTAAAGCGTTCAGCTGATTTTTACAGAGTTATCTCCCTGTAGTGTTATGTACCACCTTAAACCTCTTTTTGTCCAGTTGTAGTAATACCTATGCATTTTAAACAATAATTCAAAGCTCACTTCTCTTATAAGGTGTTTTTTCCTTAGTCTCGTAAGGGACCTTTTTATACAGGTTTTAGTGTATATACGAGAAGATGTATCCAGGGGACACCATGACTCTCTTGCACTGTCATACGTCCATGTTAAAGTTTACCTTGAAATTGGAGTCACAAATAATTTGGCATATGATTTCAAAAGTTCACCTGACAATGAAAATGTGTACTAGGTTTCAAGTTAATATGACTAAAACTTCATGGTTAACTATACCTGAACTCAAAAGTTTGACCTAAGGTGGGATAAACAAACAGATGGATAGATTAACGGACAGACAGAGGCACAGACTGGAAAACATAATGCCCTCTATAATAGGTCAACATATGTATGTTATGGCTCCTGATTACCTGATAAGTTTTGTTTTATCTAATATTTTTAACTGAATGTGGAAATCATAAGGGTACAATCTATTGTAAAATGTGGGAAAAAATAACAATGGGATATTTAAAAAACCATATACATGTAAAGATGATAAAGTCAAAGAAAACTGTGTGATACAATGGCTAAAAAGAAAAAAAAACCAACTAGATTACCTTGTATAGCTGTCAGGCCTTTTGTGTTGTTGCTTGGTAAATAGGTCACTTTTTCTTCTTTCAACCATTTTCTCTGCAAAAAATAGATTTTCATAGTTTTGAAACAGATATTGAAATTTGGCTAAAAAGCACAATGTTAAGGATTTGATATGAAACACTTGATACCTGATGACCTCCTGAAAATTAAAGTTTATTAATAAGTGGTCGTTGCACATTTGTTTTACTTGTCATCTTACTTTTTGGTAACCAGATATAAAAATTTGTTGGAAATTGTACTCTGCATTTTGGCGTAGGTAATCAATTACAAATTTTCTGAAAATTAAATGCTCCTTTACAATGTATAATGAATAATCCTGAAAAAAGAAAGTGGGAAAGAAGGTTAAGGATGTTCGCTCTGTTTCAAAATAACAGACTTTTTAAAAGTCTGTCATAAATTGATAGTATAAAAATAAAGAAACTAAAAAAGCAGAAAAAAATGAAGGGTCCGTGTGCTTGTTATTGAGATATAAGCCATTAAAAATTTGGCTGGAAACGATTCTCTCTAGATTTTTCATACATTTAACATTGGCACCTTTTCTTCTTTCAAAAACGATGCAAAAATAACAAGGATTTTATAAGATTTTCAAAAGATGACATTTTAAACTGTATGTAATCAAATTATGGAAAGAAAAGTAGGGGTTAGTGGGCAAAATTATTAATGACACTACATGGATAAAACCAGAGGATTCTGAATATCTGACAAAAATTCAAAAACAAGAGGAGCGAACATCCTTAATTGCTGCAATGTTGTTGAAGGTTTTCAGGGCCATAGTATATAGACCCAAACTGTTCTATCGTCATTGAACATTCATGAAAGAGCCTAATAACACCTTTCTGGACATATACAATTCTATCGTCATTGAACATTTATTAAAGAGCCTAATAACACCTTTCTGGACATATACAATTTAAAATTTTAACATAATCTGACATAACTGATAAGTGATGAATGTTTCATATGTTAGTATTACTGTAAAAGTACTTTTATTCGTGGGTATCAATTTTTGAGGTTTGAGCAAAAGTTACATGTTTATGGGTTCTTAAATTTTTTGAAAAGGAGTAGGTCCGGTAAGGGCCGATTTTGGCCTCAAAATTCAGGTTCATCTGATGAAAGATTTTGGACACTTTTTAAACACTTAAGTGTCTACTTCAGTCGATTCAATTAGTTTATGTGAAAGGTTTGAACTGATTTAGTCATTAAAGACGCTCAAATTCAAGCTAAAATATGAAAAATCTATCAAATATGCCATAATGTGTCACTTTTCAGATGGTTTTGTCAAAAATGAAAGTGGCCGCATCCGTGTTCATCCTCAACCTTTATATATGTTATGTATTATCATCAAATACAACTTACATTTAAATATTAAGAATGAACAAAAATGCGGCCACTTCCATTTCAGACGGAAACCATCTAAAAATTAACCAAAATGCTAAAATTTCGAAGATTTCAGTAATTTAGCATGACTTAATGATGATAGTACCGGATACATGTGCATTGTATGGTCAAAAACAGCCCATATTTATGTAACAGAAGTATTCTTCTTTCCAATAAATAGCTAAAAAATTACATTTTAACAATTTTGTAAAACTGCTATATTTTGGGGCCAAAAAGGGGTCTTACTGGGCCTACTCCTTTAAAAATTGAGTGAAGAATTTGAATGAATATTTGTGAAATTAGTCATATGTTGTTTTATAATGATTTATTGGATATTGCAAAAAAAGGTGTTCATTTTCACTCACTTGTATTTCTTTCATTTACTAACAATATTTCATAAAATTTTTAATAAAAGAATTGTTTTAAGGAATTAAGCTGATTCATCTATGTTTACAAATTGTCTTCATTGAAGGAAATTGCAAAGTAAACATTTTAATTCTTGCACATATGTAATCAGAAGTTAAGACATTAATTAACCCAAAATCAAATGCTCAACAGAATAACTATCATCAAAGGTGTTAATTAAACCATAAACATGTCACTTAAAAAAACAGTTACATAAGAAAATGCTACAAATGTAATTTGTTTTGTATTTCAATTAAAACTCGTACAGTTTAGGATTTTTAAAGATTAAATGGGTAAAATCCAGTTTGAAGTTGTACATTTAGTTCGTAGTACTTTGACTGATATTCGATGTATTCTCTAGATTACATGCCAGTTCAATGTATTCAAACCTACACAGGGATCTTTCTATCTTTGGAATTGGATAACAGATGTTATATTTTGTTGGACACTTAATTCATGGATTCAGCCATCCACCAAAACCAAGAAGATCGGTACCTCACAAATAAAAGTACTTTCACAGTAATTAGATATTGGACTTTCTTTAGTTTTTCTCTCAAATTAAAATAATTGCATTGCATGTATGTTTCATAAGAATCCTAAATTTTGATTGGCTGATAACAATGGCCTGCAATCCAATATCATATTTTATTTTCGTATAAGCTATGACTGTACATGCTATCCATGTCAAAGTTAAAAAATGCACTGAGAAACAATAAAAAAAACTTGATGTAATACTAAATTTCATGGTTGTAGCATAAAATTAAATTATAAGTATCTTAAGCTTCTTTTTATGATTTTATAGGGTTGTAAAAGCATTGATCATGCACATATTTTTAGTATGAAGCGCTTCAAAACTTCAGCGCTTCATATTAAAAATGTGCGCATGATCAACGCTTTTACAACCCAATAAAATTATAAAAAGAAGCATTCAATTCTTAAATGAATCTGAATTTAGAAAAGATGCAGAAATATATTTATGGAAAAAAAGAGTGATTGGCAGAAACCCAACGAAATACCAGATAACAAGATATATCGAAGAGACAAGACTTTCATTGCTGTTCTTTATCTTGACTGTTGCAGCAATAAAACAAAAACTACTGATAAAAGAAGCATATATTAAACAGCTGTTACCCATGTATACTAGTCTTGCTCACTTACACAGTTCTATTTTTTTTAAATATCTACATATACATGTATGATTATTTTTACCACAACTTCAAAACAATTGATCAAACTAGACTCAATAACTTCAGACCTGCCAACTATCCCGATTTTGGCGGTATCATACAGACTTTCATGCCTCAACCCAAATCCCGCAAAACAAGTCAAAATTCCGATTTTCACAAAATCTACCTGAAAAAATTGTTGTTTACTGATTTTGAAGTTTTTCCGACCAATCTTTATAAATCTATATTTTTACCTGGCGACATATTTATGACAATTTTATGACCCCAACAAATCAACGGTCACAACAGGTGTCAGAATTTGTTGTTACAGGTAATCTGCTTATCCATTGGGTCATAATGATTCTCAAAATTAATTAATTTGATAAATAGAATCAGTCAGTGGGCATTTCAATTTTAATCAATTTTATCATACGATCACAATTTGCAATGTTTACCGTAGTATCATGACAAAAACGTAGTTAACTGAAAGACGAAAACTGTAATGAACTCATTATGAAACACCGTTTATCTTGAAATCCGTGAAAATTTTTGAAATCAGACGTGTTTCTGTCAGTTTCTGATTTAAAATCGATGGCATATTGTATTCACTTCTACTGTGTTTAAGCCTCCGCTGGTAGAGCACCTTTGAATACCAAGAAAGATAACTCAAATTTTATCCCTTTTCTCACAAACTAACTAAGATCTGTTTCCATCCTTCTAACTTTAGGACATTTAGGTTGTAGGTCTTTTGAGGCATGGTGCAAAGATAAAAAAAGGTCTTTGGAGGGGGAGAGGAGGGTCTTCAATTTGTATCACTTATTTTTTTAGGCCATTTTTCTCTATTCTGAAGTTACTTTGCCAATTAATAAGTACAAGAATCATGCAAATAAAAGAAAACAAGGCTAATAACTCATCATCAGTTTACCAAAAGAAAAAAAAGAAGTGAGATATGAGACTACTTCAAGAGTATAAAACAGTGCATACAGAAACGCCGCAAAAATGTTGACCCTTAAAAATCTGGTCGTGCACTAAATCCCCCATGGAGATTTTCAAAAGTTGGCAGGTCTGTAACTTTAATTTTCTAAATCACTTTTTATATATATATATATATACATGATATCAGTCAGCAGGGTTTAAGAGCATTTGTTGTTCGACCTGTTAGTCAAATGCGTTTTGTTAAAATATACTTTTTCACTTTTTTGGTCTTTTGGAAAATGTTGTTTGTGCTGTATTTAGACCCCTCTACCAAGAAATTTATTTTGCATGCACACATATAAAAATTGCGGTTTTTATCCAACGCAATCATAGGTTTAAACGTTGTTTTCAATTTAGACTTGTTTATATGATATATATATATATACTAAAAAAAAATATAAAGATTGTAACAATTTTTAAAAGAAGTGCTATTTTTGTACAGTTTATTTATACATGAAAAGGACATTAAGAAATACAACAAAATACAAAATGAAATACTTGATGGTACTTAACATTCCTATATAGACAATTCAAGGGTGGACAACTACCCAATAACTTCAATTCCCCCTAGAAAATTATCTCCCGCCAGCTCATCTCATGTATCAGCACTTGCCAAATACATTTCGTAAAATCAATCTAAAACAAATCTATCATTACCCATTATACTTACAGCAAACTCAAGATCTCGATCATCTATCAAAGCTTGATAAAAAATTTCTTTCTTCCTAAAAAATTTTAATTAGTAAAAATTATCAAAATCATACTATAATATATACAATATAAAAAGTAAAACAAAAATTGTTTTTTTGTTGATAAATTGTTGATATGTATTTAAGGATGTACTTAGGTGAAATTAAAAAAAATCTAGAAGTAAAAAATTGATACTATAAGCCAAAAGAGCATTAGTTAAGGAACAAAATAAGCTAAACATATTAATAGTTTATGGAGCTCCTTTTTGAGATATTTGAGTTTAAAAAAATGGCAGAAAAAGGCTAACTCTGACTTTTACCTTGTATTTGCATTGGTATTATTTGGGTCTCAAATCGAAAGAAAAGAAATCTAGAATCTGCTTAAATTTGGGTAAATGACCTTTTATGAGGTATTGAAAAGAAAAGAAAAATGGGTGTTATGGGGCAAAATATTTTACCCTGTATCATAGGAAAAAACCGAAGAGTCCTGACACAAATTCCTAATCCTCACCTAAGTACATCCTTAAGATTCATAATTTTAATTTTTATATCCAACATGACAAAGATTTTTTTTTTTAAATCAAGGGAGTAGACTTTGCACATGTTGCATGAAATTATTTCTTTGCCAAATATTGAATGACAGACATTGTGACAAGGTATAAATTGCATGATGTTAGAAAGAGAAATATTCTTATGGGTCCTTTAGCAATTTTAAAGTCTCTCTGACTGTGCACTTAATATCTATTAACAGCTTTTCAACAGAGAAAATAACCAGGGCTGAAAACTTGACAGAAAATAGGTTAAGCCTTGTACGGTCTTAGTTATAAATCTACAAAAAAATGACTGCTTCTGTATATGTACAAACTTGCTAGCAAATTTTTTCTCTGGATCCATTTCGTAAACATTTGCAACCCATGGGTACAAAATAACTCCTCTATAATCAAACAATTGGTGGAGAAATGTCTGAAATAAAAAGATATACAGTGGATTCATTATTATTTGTTGGATACTAATCTTTGTGGATTTCAAAGGTACAGGTGAACCATCAATTTAAATGTTCAACAAATTACAAATTTTCAATAAGGTTGAATGCAAACATTAGCAAAATCATGAAATCAAATACTGTAATGGACATCAGAAGGATTCTTTCAGACTGTAAGAATTGCAGAGATATATAACCTTGACTGTTGAAAAGGAGATATATGTCTCAAATTTATGTAATTTGAATAATATAATGAAAATGTTGAAAATTATTGTCAATAGACCATGGCCAAGAGGCAGGGCCTAATAATTTCCATGGAAATTATCTTTTTACCATACTTATGATAAGTGGTTTACCTTTAACTGACATTATCATAAACTGTAACATGTGTAATGATTATTGAAACTGCATATGTGGACAACTAAACCCCTAAGGGCTGTTTCATGTTCCATGCATTTAAATTCTGAACAGCCCTAAGTCTTGCAACTGAAACTCAACACAGAATTAAGTAGTTGTTGACCTGGGAACAGACATAAAGTTAATAACAAGTATATTAAACCTGTTCAAATCAACAATTTTAAAAACTACATTATTATTAAACTACAATTTCATTTTTTGTTCTATTTATTATCTCCCCTTGACAATAGTACTGCATGCAATGCATTATCTCACCCTTGACACTGCACCATTTGCATGATCTCCCCTTGACACTGCATGCAATGCATGATCTCCCCTTGACACTGCATGCAATGCATGATCTCCCCTTGACACTGCATGCAATGCATGATCTCCCCTTGACACTGCATCCTATGCATTGTCTCCCCTTGACACTACATCATATGCATGATCTCTCATTGACACTGCATCCTATGCTTTATTTCCCCTTGGCACTGCATCCTATGCTGATTAAAAGTATCTCTTACCTGCCCTGTGCTGTAACTTTTGTCTGCACTTTGTTTCTCACATGGTTTTCCCACTTCCACAACACTAAAAGAAAAGATGAAAACTAAATGTTTAGGCGTATCAGTCATAATTGGATAAAGTTAAGGGGCAAAAATCTATGTACATTTGTACCCTAAATGTTCATACCTACCATTAAATAAAGAGATAACTGTATTGTATTTAAGCTTGGCCTTCGTGAAACGTAGATTTTACTGTTGCAAATTGAGTTTACCTAGCGCCGCTAAATTCAAACGGTTTGACTTTAAACAGACAAGCTTTACATGCAACAGTCTAAATCAGTTTTCTTGGATTCAAATCCTCCCAATGTCACGACTTTTTGTTGTCAGAGGAAAAATGAAGAAAAAAATATATTCTTGCGCATTGTTTTAAAAGGGCACTGGTACTGCAGGACCGATTGTCTCTGATGAACCATGGAAACACCTCAACACAAAAGATGCATCCATAAAATGAATATTCATAAAATCAATGCTTGTAGTTACTGAAAGCAAATTTTTGGCACCCAAAAAAAAGTTTACCAACATTTAATATCTTTTTGATCATGTTGATGTGCAATGCCAAAATAGGAATATATGTAGCAACTTAATTCTTTCAAATGGAATGAGTCAATTTGATGATCGATATTTTTTTCACATTTAAGACAAAGATTTAAAGATATTTAATCCAGACTTTTTATCAGTTCATTTACAAATTGTGTCTAAAGTTTGGGCACCCACGGCCCCCCCCTTTTTCAAAATCCTGGATCCCCATCTGGTTTCCACCTATTCTATTTCAGTACATTGTGACTGAGCTAAATTTAACTTTCTGCAAAAGAAATTTGAGTCAATCACCTAATAAACATGATAAAATATCATTATGATTACCAGGATTACATGGGAAAGTTCAAAATTTCTAAGGCCCACTTTAGTCGCAGGGTTGGTCACTTTGTTTACTTGTTTATACTATTCATTTGAAGAAATTGGTTAAAGTGAGTATCATTTGAGCTGCGTCAGATACAAATCGACATTATGCAAGTGCACGTATACATGTACATGTACATGTATAAGACTTTAATTGATTTTGGAACATTCAAATACAAAATAAACGATGAATTTTGGTTTGTTTTTGTAGGGTTCTTATATCAACTCAATTTTCAAACAGTTATATATATATATATATATTAATTACATATATAGACTTTGCATAGAGATTTTTTTTAACCCAAAATAGGTAAACAGCTAGATGTTTTCATATTCATTTGCATAAGGTCGATTTCTATCCGACACTGCTCATTTATAGCTTGGTAACTATTTCGTAAATTAATTCGTAGGTTACGTAAATATTCTGGTCAGGTTACTTTCTGTTTCTTGCATGTGCCTGGAAGGGCTCGTTGTCCATAGAAACTGTAAATATGATGACATCCCCCAGGATCAGGGCAGTCTACCGCTTAGGATTTGAAATGAGCAGGGCTCATACTTTGGCCTTCAGATATCATGGATATGGAACATTTATCAAGACAACATGTACATGTAGACTAGCCGCCATCATATTCATATATTTATCATGTTTATTGTATGTAAACTTGTGTTCAATCATATGTCTTCTAAATAAACATCTTATAAATTTATGTCATGTGCATGTATGTATGGTTTGCCCAATATCCCAGAACTTGGTAGAAAACTGGAAGACTATGAAGTCAGGAGAAATTCACACTCCTGTTACAAATGAACATGCATATGGCCCGCCCCACCAATAGCATGGAGCAATATTCATGTGTACAGAGACAAAAATAAGACAAACAAGTCACAATTTTGAGCAGTATATGTGCTTCAAACAAGGCACTCAATTCTTGTCTGTGTGAAAAAAATGTATCCATACACACACATTATGTATCTACATGTACCTGTCTAGAAGTATATTTTTTTCAAAGACAAGTGACTGTGCATTCAACTATCAAACTGTCAGATTTAACAGTTACAGGACTGTCGGACCAACAGGTTGTCATATTATACATGTTATAGGACTTGCGGATTATTGGACTGGTCCAAAGGACACAGTTATTGTCCTTTGGTTTTCGTTGTCTACAAATATAGTCCCTAGTCATGCTAGTGTGGACAGTGTATAACTTGCAAATTTTTTTCATACACTTTCCAAATTTATTTATTTCTATTTTACTCATGAAATATTAATTAGGGGGATGAAATTACATTGTTTCAAAAATTTGGGTGATAACTTTTTATGTAGTGATTTGGTCCAGTTAAAAAAGGTAAAAAAATAGTATGCCTGATGCTGTCAAACTGAATTATTGACCCCTTTAACATACAATTGTCTATATTTTGAGTTAGAGCTGGTAGACTTTAAAAATTTGTATAATTTTGTTATTTGTACACTTCACTGTAAAAATCTTTATGAGATAGAGCAGCTTCAATTTTGTTTAATTTGAATTTATTGTCTTAAAGAAATGTACTACGAAATAACTGTGTCAAGGCAACTGTCAGATTATATTTATTTAACCAGAATTACTGTTTTGCAGCTACACTAGTCTACACTGTGTTGGTCATGTTGGTAGTCCCCAATTATTACATCTTGGAAGGCTGTTTTAATAGCTTCAAATGACATATTCTGGATCTCCTGTAGTTGGTGATCGCAATACTGGTATACCAGTATTGTGCACAATACTGGTATAAAAATTTTGTACCAGTATTGTATTCCAGTATTGTACCAGTATTGTGTTTTTTTAGAATAAACAATACATATAGGTAATTAATCTTTTATTAAAGGTGTCACATATATATGCATAATGATATTAACATATGACATGACAATTTTATATGGAATGATTGAATTGTATTTTTAATTGATGATGCCATTGATGGTACACTGTGATTGTAATCAAAGAAAGTTTTTAATCTTCTGATGTTTTTTTCTTAAGGGAACCATACTGTCTCAGCATTTTAACAAACTCTTTACTTTCTTTTATGTTTTCTTCCAGCTCTCTCTTTCCAAGTCTCAATAGTATATTTTAGTGAATTTTATATTGACATTAATACTGTTATAGCTTCTGTATCATCAGCATTAATATTGTTTATTTTTTCTTCAGATGGCATTTCTGCAACCCCCACTTCCTATATTGATATTTATGTATTCAGTCTGTGGACTTTCTCTTACGGTTACTAGATTACAAGCTTGTTTAGATAGCACCTGTACGGCTCTCTTACTGTAGGAGTGCTTGTCTAGTATTAGTATTTGAGCATTTGTACCAGTAGATATATCTGCTACAAATTGTATTGCCCATGGTTCTGAATCAACTGCTTTAACGTACCCTTAACATTCATGTAGACAAACTAGTTAATTTGGTTATAATCAGGTTCCCCTATTAAGCATATTTTATGTTTAATGGATATTGATATTTTTTATCATGTTTATTGTGAAAGATTGATAAGAAAATAAAGACAAACAAATGCTTAGAATCTTAGTATACATGTATTAAAATATCTGTAAAAAATATACGATTGCATACATGTAAATGCTGAATTTACAGTGTTATAGTGTAATAATTCGCTTGAATTTATTAAATAATAACTCAGATAATAAAGCTTTTATTTTATTTTATCTAAATTGAATTAAATAAAATATAGAAATATGAATTATTAGCAATTATTTATATAATTAAAAATTGTTCGAATAAGATGAGTTAATTGCAATAATCTTTTGTTTATTTGTACAAGTATATATAGTAATTATATTTAACTGGTTGTTAATTGATTTCACAATTATCCTCTATAATCTTTTTGAGTTCATTTAATCTCCCTTTGATCTTCAATATATCTAATTTTGCTTAAAATTCATTTTTCATTATACACCTTAAAGTATAGTGAACAATACAACTGCAATACTGGTATATCAGTAATGTACCAGTATTGCTGTTTTTAAAAAAAAAGTTACAATACTGGTACAAAATTTTTATACCAGTATTGTGGACAATACTGGTATACCAGTATTGCGATCACCAACTACAGGAGATCCCATATTCTTGCAGCAATAAGGGATCTTTATAAAAATCAAAATTGACAAATAACATCAACAAATGTTATGATTATTTGGACTACACTACAGTGAGCGGAGATGTCTGAACAGCTGAATTAGTGAATATGTAGAAGGTTACCCGGTTACACTTGCAAATTAATAATTACAGGCGAAACTGAATTTTTTAGGCATAGATCATACCTTGGCGCTGAGGACAGGCACTTGAGTGATTTCTCTTGACATTGTTTAGTTCTTGAAAATAAAGAACAGAAAGTTCTTTTTATATTTAAACTGGCCATGGCATGTTGACAATGTTTTTCTTCATGAGTTATCTTCCTTGGTAAAACCAATATCGGAAACATGATGGAATTATTCCGCAAAATGAATATGAATAATTTTTTTTATTATATACTTAGTAGTAACAGAGACATATAATACAATATATAATAATATTGTATTATATGTCTCTGGTAGTAAATACAGATAAATTGTATGTGTAATATGGTCAACGGCAATCGTGCTGTATCAGCCATCCGTGATGATATCGACATCAGTCACGGTTGCAAAGGCTTTATCACACATTTAATCTGTATGCATCATAGAAACGGCATCGATATCAATCACAATGGCAAAGGCTTTATCAAACCCCTAATCTGTATAACGTCATGTCACATAAAACATCTACTTGAGGTATATATAATAAAGTGCATATGATATGGCTTTTTCAATATCACATCCGTATCAACCCGAGACACCAATATAATCCCAAGAGCTCCTTCAAAAGCTGATTCCTAACCAATATGATATTGATTGCATTTTAAAATGACGAAAAAAAAAATCCCTTCACCTATTAACAATAAATTAATTTTATTTTTGACATACAAATATTGATACCTGAAGAAATTTTAGCTTTTTTGAAGTATTTTTTAAGATTTCATTTTTCTGCAAATATTGCGCAATTAATATTTTAATGTGCACTTGATTTGAAATTATGGCATTCTGTTCTATTATGTCCACATGAGTTTTAGAAAAAATAGCATACAAGAAACAGCAAAGGGCATTTTGTTTAATTCTTGTGAAATTTGGCCGAATGTCCATTATTGACCTTTGACCTTGATTTAACAAAAAATGCACCGTACAAAGTATTGACGACCGGGCAAAACAGAACGGTACAGATAAGCGTTCGAATGATATATAATATAGCCGTATGTTAGGTGGGTTCATTAAGGTCGATAACTAATTGTCTTTTTGAAAAATGTCACTCGCCTAGTACAGGCTTGACTCGCTTTTGTGATGTGGGATATAAGGTTTTAAAAAGTTTGTATATGTAATATAGAGGGTATAAAGTGCGATTTGGGAAAAGTAGGAAGTGGGGGAAAAATTGCAAAAAGCGGTATTTGGGAAATGAGCACGCCCCCGCGTTACCCCCTCATAAAACAGATCCAAACAATTTTCACCCAATTTCAATTTTACCTTCTGTGTTCAATAAGTTATTTGAGAAGACTGTCTTTGACAACTATATTTAAGAAATAATTCATGGGGCTTGAATTTATATTAATTTTACCACAGTTGGCCCTTTATGCTAAATATTTTACATAACGCGATAGCGAGGGGTAACATATAGGTATAAAGGACAAACCCGTGGTAAAATCAATATAAATGCAAGCCCCCCATGAAGTATTTCTGTTCTAATAGGATCATAAAGACGACAATTCTTTTGGATCGAGGCGCTCTAGGTGAAGGGAAATATTTGCTGTTCCTGTAGTAGAAGTGGGACACTTAAAGACGTATCGTATCCGTATCTGATACGTTGAAGTATCTGCATGTATTATGTTTACATACTTGCTTCTTGTATTTCAAAATTCTGTCTTAATCACATTTATTGCCCTTAAAGTGATGTATCTACGATATATATTTGCAGTACCTATAATACAATTATAAAAACATTACATGGACGACACCAGAAGCTAACATTTACACACATTTAAAAATCACGTGATTTTCGTGTCAATCTGTATACTTGTATAAATTTTAGCACTCGATATTTGAATCATTAGAACTACCCAGGCGTGAAGTTCAATTACAAAATAAATAAAGTTAAGGATTGTGTACCCTTTTGTTGTTTCAATGCTAAACATATGGACATTTTATAGAAATCCACAGCCTTTCACCTTGTCCTCAGGCTCTTATATTTGACAATTCGGTGCGTGTTATATAGAGGATTATTACATGTCGTGCTAGCAATGGTTTTCTTTAAACAAGTTTATCAATAAAGATATTGGTTAAAACAAATAAAAATATGGACCAATTCAAGTACACCTCCTGTAGGGTGCGCTCGACTTTAGTGACTCAGCACGATGAGTTTTGGAATATAAAGGTTGTTTATGATTTTTTGTTTAAAACAAACGCTAGCACATCATGGACAAACAAGTAAGTAATCTACGTTTATAATTTTATAACGAAAATCTCTGTATTGAAGTCTGTAGGTTTTCTGCAAAAATCTTTGCTTTATTTGCTACAAAATCACTATTTTCTATAAAATACAATAAAACATAGATAATATTTCTTTGAATCAATTTCCTATTGGTATATGTACGAAATGACAGATCTCTTTTATTCGTTATCTTCGCTGTTTTGCTATTATTCCATCTTATACATTTCGTACTACACAGGACTACAGAAGCGGTTATAAACCGTACGTGAACAATATTTATACACATACTTTATTGCTTGTAAATGAGGATTGTGTCGGATTTATTACTTATACCAATAATAATAAATTTGTAAATTTGGCAGGCAATACTTTTTTTCCCAAATATTTAAACTGAAAGAGACCGAAAAAATCTGCATCACCCTTTCCTTATATTTCCCCGCTTTTCCCTATTCTAGAAATCTCTACCACGATTTTGACTCGATCATTAACTACATTTGCATTATTATTAAAATTTACGCCTGAAAATGATGACGGTTTAAATATCTTTTGTTTAGATATATACGATTATTCATAAATTAAAAACTATCATGTCATAAAAAGAGTGTATTAATGACCGAAAGATATCTAACATAGAAAAAACACATATACATGTACTATTTAAACACGTAAATGATCATTCAAACAGTAACCCATAGATACGTTCAGATACGTCAACGTATCAGATACGGATACGATACGTCTTTAAATGTCCCACTTCTAATTGAACACACTATAATATTGACGTATAAGACGAGGATTTAATTTTATTGATTGATTGATTGGTGTTTAGCGCCACTTTCAACACGAATATGCTATTTCCTTGTGGTCAGTTATTATTGGTGGAGGAAGCCGGAGTGCCCGGAGAGAACCACCGACCTTTGGTAGGAAAACTAACAATCCTTGTCAATTAAGATTAGAGTCGAGCGCACCTGCCACGTGCGGAATTCGAACTAACAACCTCAGTGTAGACCAGTCCTGTTGACAGGCTAGTGATAAAGTAATTTGACGTCTTGGACCACTCGGCCACCAAGGCCCCCTATAAGACGAAGATGCATGAATTAGTGACACGCTTACACGATTTACAATCACATTCTAAGACAGTTTTGGATGAAGTTAAATGGTTATTTTAATTTTATTTAAGAAAAATTGAGTTTCAACAAATTCTTATCATCGTTTGTTTATCTTTTCATGTTTTGACGAATGTCAGTTTCACATTTGTTCATTTTCCCGTAGAATGTTTATAAATATTCTTAGGTCATCGTTTAATGACGTCAATTACACCGTCTGATCCCCATTATAAAAAGCATGCAACGCCATGATGGGAATGATTAGGGATTGGAACAGTCCAAACAAATGGCGTTGTCGATCAGCTGACATATGAACTATATTCGCATTTTACCACGGGTGTGTACTTGAAGCGTTTAAAGAACGTCATATTAAAATTAGCTTTTATGAACAACCAATTTTATGTAAAATGTACTGCTATTCAATTATTAGATTTAATACTGTAAATCACAACATCCTATTGTCAAAACTTAAATGATACAAACGTAATGACCCCTCCCTCCTTACAATGGTCAGAGACGTGTGTCTCTGCAGTGGTTTTCATCCTTCAACTCTCAGAAAATGCAAAAAGATAGCTCTGCATCTGACTGATAAATAGACATGTACCTTTATGTGTCCAACAAGGACCCGCCGTTATCATTCGTTGACTATACCAATGACCTTAGTTATCATTAACTTTAGAATATACAGGATGATGATGCAACCGAGGATACAACTTTCATTTGTCATCACAATCTATCGTAGATTAAAAAAATATGCTCAAATAAAAACTTTGAAAATGTTATTGAATGGAGTACAGAAAATGATTAACGACAAACAATCAAAATGTTTGGTTGTGAGACCAGAGAAAAACTGAAAAAAACTGCAACTTTAGGCCATATAGAAGGTGACAAACTTCTATGAAATTATACGGATAAAATTAGTCATGGTCATATCAAATTGATTAAATATGTGAGATGGTAGTAAGCAGACGGTATACCCGTTAAAAAGGCCGGTTGTAAAATTATTCACCATTAAAGAGCATGGTCGTCGTTTGTTGCTGTATATCATTTTTCGTTTATTGTTTTTTACATAAATCAGGCCGTTGGTTTTCTCTTTTGAATTGTTTTACATTTTTCATTTCGGGGCATTTTATAGAATGTTATGCGGTATGGGTTTTGCTCATTGATGAAGACAGCACGGTGACCTATAGTTGCTAACTTCTACAATATTTGGTCTCTAATGGACAGTTGTCTCATTGACAATCATACCACATCTTATTATTTTCATATTGTGTTGACAACCCTGGCTACATTATGAATATATATCAGCCTCACTAAATCACAATTAAAAAAGATCTGCAGTGATATGATTAATGATTCAGAATTTTAAACGCTGTCCGAAGCTCTTTTTTATATTTACATTTATAGCTTCATCAGGAACGTTCATAGCCAATTTTAAAGTCAAGGATATTTAAAATTTGGGTCAACCGAAACAATAGTTAACGCTGTGTAGTCTCATCATGCTCATATTACTGTAAAAACATTGAAAGTGGCAACGCAGATGCGGATAATCAAAAATAAATTAAACAAATGAATTTTTTACTGAACAGCATTATAAATCAATGCTAACTATTGATAAAAAAGTATTCGTCTATAGCGTACATTTTCCGGCTATAAAATAATAATTTATATAATTCTTACATGTCTTACTTCACACGAGGCCACTGTTATGTGTTTATATTGTTACGAGAAGCTGTCGTGACTAACGTATATTGTGCTGATATAATAAAAATCTTTTACTTCACAGCCTTATAC